TGGAAACAGCATCTGAATTACAGGCAGAGACCCACATTAGGAGCTGCCAGAATTGTGTTTGTTGTGGCTGCCTGGTTAGCTGCTGTTCGAACAGCTGAAGTCTGAGCATATTGATCGATCAGTGTCAGCTTAAACAAGAATCCGGCCGAAGGGAAGGCAGAGTGGTGTGCAAAGCTGGATTGGCAAAATACAGCTGGGCTAGGTGTGGAAAGGGCAGATAGACTGTTGAATGTCAAAGCACCAGAGTACGTTAAGAAACACATCACATCGAGTGTGCAACATTTAATAGGTAGAATTGTGTTTGTACCTGATTCAATGAAAAGGATGTTCTTCTCAGCTCAGGGGATTGTGACTGCCCTCTTATATGAGGGAGGATGGGAATGAAGTTATTTGTTGGAAAATTCAATTCCAAACTTAACTGAGCTGAACTGCTAACTGAATGACTGTAGTGATTCACTCATTCTGTGTATAAGTAGAGGACTCGTTAACATAATCCTATTAACCCAGCTATTTAAAAATAGCTTTGGGAGTTTTGGAACAATAATGTTATATTTAAAATCTAGCTCACATGAATGATGATACCAACACTATTATCATTGAAAACCATGGGTGTGGGTAAGGTATGTTCGGGGTCCAAATAATCTATGATAAATATTGCCACTAGATGAGTCAAAGAAACATCAGGAGAACCTTCAGAAATCACAAAAGTGCAGAAGAATAAGATACGCCCTGACTACAGCTCCGTTATTAGGACTGTATTCTCTCCAGGTATTTTGATCCAGCCTCCTCACTCTGGGGACCAGCAATCTGAAGGCAGAGACTTAAAGGCTCATTAGTCTGACTTCTTTTGATAACACTACCTGTAGAGGTGTGTGTGTGCGTGTGTGCGTGTGTATTAAACTTGGCTCTGTAATGAACATAAGTAGAGAGTTAAAGCTCATTTTATGGAGGGAGAACTATTTATATTTGAACCATTCTGTTAAAGGCAAGCACTGAACATATATTTTTAAAGCTTCATTATCAGGTAGAGCAGGGATACAAGGTTAACATTCTATTCTTCAAGACAGAGACCAATAAAATGCAAAAATCATAACCCATTTTGTTTAAGAAAATCCTTTGGGAATCCAGTTTTGATTCCTTTTCTTTTCTATTCTCTGCTATTTTCTTTTCTGTGTGCTTTCCTGAATTGGGTCCTTCATGTGGTTTGCAGAAAGGTGGAATCTTGATATTAGCAATTGTGCACAAATTCTCTGAAACCATAGAACCCTTTTATATCCTCCTGTGGAGGATCTGCTGTTCTCTTGCAAAATTCGGCCCACCAAGGTCATGTTTTCTTGGGAGTACAACTTCTCTGGCTATCATTTACATGGCTCTTTCGGAGTTTTGAGTAATAAGATTATGTTGTGTCTTCTGGTGACGAAAAGAGGTTGTTTTATTTTTTAAATAGAAGAGCCACTTCCTGATTGAGTTTTGTGCTAAAAGTAGATCTGCCTTTGGGCAGAAATATGAATGCCATGATTTTCCTATGCAGTATTATTAGCCATACTTCCTGGGCACTTATGGTCAGCGTTTTACTATTTAACTATTCCATATCAATTATTGTGAGATCATTTGCAACAGGAAAAAATATAGTAGGTAAAATGATCACACTTATTTTAAAGGAATCACAGTTTTGCTTTAAAACCGTGATTTAAAACTATAGTTCATTGAAAGGAGTAGTCATTTCAGAGAGTGCCATGAGGTATGATTTATGAAAGACTATGATTTCATCCTTAATACTAGTTGATCAGTTATGATGTTTAGTGAAAGATGATCAGGCTGGCCTCTCTTCGTAATCATAATGGTTACGTAACCACCACTACTTCAGTTCTTTTTTTTTAAATCATTTTATTGGGGACGCATATAACTCTTTTCACAATCCATCCATCCAGCTATTGTGTCAAGCACATTTGTACATTTGTTGCCCTCACCATCCTCAAAACATTTGCTTTCTACTTGAGCCCTTGATTCCACTTCAGTTCTTCATTTTGTATATACTTGGAATTTCTCTTAGCTCTTTGGTAAGTCTTTGTTTAAGAAACTCAAAACATAGAAAGTAATTTATAAGCTACATTTACTTTTCCTAGTTCTTAAGCTTTTCTCAATACTATTCCTGCCTCTAGAGGTCAACGTATCAGCAATCTTTATATATACTCAAAGCAATAGATGTGCTGATTCAATCTGTGTTGCTGAGCAAATTCTGGCTTACAGCAACCCTGTGAGTGAGGAGAACTACTGCACAGGGTTTCCTATTACAACGACTCAATGCAATTATCCAGGAATTTGTTTTTTATAACTAAGTACTAAATTATACAAGTATCTTTATATTTACTTATAGATTTCAGTACTTTAGTAACATGGACACACATGGGTGACAGAATGTAAACTGAAGGCTAAATGGCAATCGAAGTACTATCACATTTGCATTTTCTTTTCTTTCTTACAATCAAGTGCAGAGAGGGTAATACAAACATATGCGATAGATGGCCCATTAGCTGGCATACAGAATCGCTGAAGCAGTGCAGCTCAGCAGAGAGCCCAAAGACATGGAATGAGAGGGAGAAAGCAGTCTGATAATTAGAATGAGTCAAAAGCAATCTCCGGCTTGCTTTCGCTTGCACAGATGACAGGGGAAGGGAAATGTTCTTTTCTTCGGAGACAGAAACAGGACATCAGTCAAAATGATAAGCGATGTCAGTATAATATTCCTCTGAGTCAGGTACCACTGAGCTAGGCATCTGGGATGAGACCTTCTAATCTTCTTTCCTTTTGCGTCAGTTTTTCTCTGGGTATTGGGAAAATAGAGTCCATGCCAAGATCTAGCTAAGAAAGTTCACAGTATTTAGTTGGGAGAAATAAAAGAAGTTTATAATGTAGTGAGATTAATATAGTCTTTGAAAACTGTAAGGCTGAAATGTTTGTTCTTTCTTCCTTTGTGAATGTGAATAAGGTATTTATGTGACTTAAAATGAGCATGGATAACCTTTTTCATAGGGATGTTGTGTTTATCCACATATAAATGCTTATAAAATGGCCATAGCTAATATACAATTATACTAAAAGCTATTATTTTTATCACTTAAAGGATAACCAGAAAAATCAGTTGTTTCATACTAGCAAGAGGAACCAACAATTTTCATACAGCCATCACATAAGAAAAATAGGACTACTTCATTTTGTTCTTCTTATTTTCCCTAAGAATCGATGGGGAAAAAATCTATGTTTTACTGACTCCAATCAAAGGCAACACGTATCTTCAATCTGTTTTAAGTTCCAACTGCATCAAGTTGATTCTGACTCATAGTGACCCCATAGGACAAAGTAGAACTGTTTCTAGAACTGCTACTGTAACGAGCCTTGGGGTTTCTGAGACTGTAAATCCTTATAGGGGCAAATAGCCTCCTTTTTCTCCTGTGGATCAGCTGGTGGGTGCAAGCCACCGACCTAGGAGTTAGCAGCCCCATGCTTAACCCCGTCTGCTAACAGAATTCCTTTCATAATATGAAATCATTGCACTCTGTTCACATGCCCTACACTACTGAAAACCAAGGCCTTTCTTTTGAAAAATGAATTTCAGGGTAATAACGACTTCTGAAAAAGTTACTAATGAGAAAAATCTACATTTCAGCTGATACACTGACATATTCTAAAATTAGAGCTCAGACTAGAGTGAATTGTAACATAAGGCCTACAGCATTCTAATTATAATGGAAAGAGAGAGAAGGGGAAAAGGCTACTGATAATTGAATAAACCTCATGTCTAAGTTAACGGCAATTCACTGATTCCATTTTGGGATACATATTTTTCCCTCATCCTCAGTGAAAATTTTACCGTGAGAGATTAACTCTGTCTCTGATTCCTTAGGTACCCAGCCCACAGCAGGAAAATTAACTAAAGTGACTTATGTAAGGTATTTGGGGCTTCGGGTTTAAAGAAACTGTCAATATAGTGTAGCTATTATTTATTTGCATACATTGATTTGCTCATTCACCTTTTTTACAATTATATATTGAATTGCAAATGGACGAGGCATTTAACAAGAAGGAATACACTTCACAGAGAAGGCTATGTAAAGTTCAGCTACTGCTGTATAACAAACCAGTCCAAGACTCATTGATTGAGGACAATAAGGATTCACTGACATAGGATGACCTGGTGGTTACACATTAGATTGCTAACTGCAGGGCCAGCAGTTGAAAACTATTAGATGCTTCTCAGGAGAAAAACAGAGCTTTCTACACCCATAGGTGTTACAGCCTCAGAAACTCACTGGCCCAGTTGTACTGCTGGGTTGCTACAAATTGGCATCGACTCAATGGCAGTAAGTTTGAGTTTCAAAAGCTCAAAGTGGATCTGTGGCTCTTCTGACTTAGATATGCTCATTTGTTCCTGCTTCTGTGATCTGCTATCGGTTGTCTAGGGTTTGCTTTATTAACTTTGGCTGGATTCTTTCTTTTATCTGGTACTGGGCTCACTTCCAACCTCTGTGTGTTTCTGCCCTTGATTTTTCATTTCTGTCATATCATAAAAACCAAGCCAGAGAGAGACTATTGGGGGCAGAGCCCCTTATGGTATGGCAGAAACGGAGAATCATGGGCAGAAAGAAACACACAGAGGTTGGAAGTGAGGCCTCATTGCTTATATGGTATTCTGTTGGCTAAAGCAAGTCTTAAGACCTGTAGTGACTAAAGAAATGGGAAGAGATTTCATCTTGGGACCGACCGGAAAAGCAACAAAGCCACCTTGCAAATAAAGTCTGGATATAAGAGTGAGTAGAGAATTTTGGCCATTTCAGTCATCTAGCATCAGAATCATGCTAAAAAGCAATGGATAGTTCAGCATTTGAAATATCTTTAACCAGTTTTATTAACATAAGTTTGTCGGCCCCAGTCTTTTCCCTTGTAAAATAGAGTACTAAAGTCTCCGCGTCTCGCTGGCTTCGTTGCGACCGCCTGGCGCGGTGGTGCGGGGGTCTTAGGCGAGCCATGGCGTCCCCCTCGTGGAGACTGCAGACCAAGCCAGTCATTACTTGTTTCAAGAGCGTCCTCTTGATCTACACTTTCGTCTTCTGGATCACTGGTGTTGTCCTTCTTGCTGTTGGCATTTGGGGCAAGGTGAGCCTGGAGAATTATTTTTCCCTTTTAAATGAAAAGGCCACCAATGTCCCCTTTGTGCTCATTGGCACTGGCACTGTCATTATTCTTTTGGGCACCTTTGGCTGTTTTGCTACCTGTCGAGCTTCTGCCTGGATGCTAAAACTGTATGCAATGTTTCTGACCCTAATATTTTTGGTCGAACTGGTTGCTGCCATCGTAGGATTTGTTTTTAGACATGAGATTAAGAACAACTTTAAGAATAATTATGAGAAAGCTCTGACACAATATAACACCACAGGAGATTATAGAAGTGATTCCCTAGACAAGATACAAAATAAATTGCATTGTTGTGGTGTCACCAAATATACAGATTGGGAAGATACTAATTATTATGTCCAACACGGATACCCAAAGAGCTGCTGTAAAACTGAATGTACTCCGAACAAAGATGCAAGTAAAGTAAACCACGAAGGTTGCTTTCTGAAGGTAACGACCACAATAGAGTCAGAAATGGGAATCGTTGCAGGATTTTCATTTGGCGTTGCTTGCTTTCAGCTGATTGGAATCTTTCTCGCCTACTGCCTTTCTCGTGCCATAACAAATAACCAGTATGAGATAGTGTAGCCAACGGATCTGCGGGTTTACTCCTCTCCAACTTTAAGTGTAAGAACAGTTGTCAGCCCTTTATGAAAGAAATAATGAGATCACCTGATTGGTAGATACTGGCCCAATAAACTGAAAAGCTACTGAGACAACTTACCAATAGACTGACTCTATCAAGATAGTAGTCCAATAGGCTGACGAAATCGACATTTGCTCAATATGTTCAAAGTCCGCCACTTATGTCCCATTCATGTGAGATCATTGCAACATCTCCTATTGCCCTGAAACACTGGAAGAGCTAGTAAATTGCAAATGAAATGCTGTGTTCCTCTTGACTTTTCTTTTTCTCGGGGGTTCTTTGCCAGGCACTATCAGTGTGCTGTTTGATGTAAAATGGAATTACCCCCTCTGAATTGCCTACTGATGTAGTTTGATAGGAAATTAACCCCTCTGAGCTGTCCCCTCCTCAGCCAAGGTTATCTGGTTTGATTGTATAATTTGCATCAGGGAATTTCAAATGCTGTCCATAGTCTCTGTTCTGCTAACAGGCAGCGGAGAATCACACTGTGTAATAGAACTAGTCAGTACTTGGATCAAATCGGTGGTGCTGGTGATGGTCTCTGACCTAACACCCCCAAAGACTAAGACAGCCTTCATGTTCCCTGACTCATCAGGTTTCAGCACACAAATGAAGGTGTTTGTACTGATGTTTATATTTTCCCTATTTGCAGGGTTCTAGTTATTACTTCAATAGTGTTGGAATTAATGTCTTTTCTTTCGGAATTTAATTTCATTAGCCTTCGCTGGTATTTCCTTATGGGGTTGATGTGATTTAATTAGTCAACTTGAGTAGTTTTAGTTTTGATTTGTTTCCTTGATTAATAAAATTCTCTTACACAATAAAAAAAATAGAGTACTAAAATAAATAAATCAAAATAATCCGTGAATTTGTTGATAAAAATCTTACATGATGGAGTCGTATTGATTCAAAAGCAAATGACTATAATGAATATTAGGTATGCCCCACTTTTAGGTGTAAATATATATTTTTGTTTGTTGTATTTTGATTGGTTTTCATTGTGCCGAGGACAGACCTAATATTGGCTTATCATTGTGTACTTCCTGAAAGCACAGCAGTTTTGTCTCTGGCAATCCTTAGCAAAGCAATAGTTCTCACGTTGATGCTGAAGAAGGCATGATTTGCTCTCATAAACAAGCATGCCTCAATACCAAGTCTAAGAGGAACGCGACCGTGTTAGACAGACATAGCCCCGGATACACTCGGTGCTTCCCCAGATGTTGGTAATCTGAATAATGGATTCATAAATCCCTTTTCATTATCTCTTGATCAGGAAGATCCTGTTGCAGTTTTACCTTGACTCTCTGAAGGTCATCCTGAAATATTTAGCTCCAGTATAAGTTGACTGGAGCCAAAGAATGTGTGTGTGTTCCAACTGAACAATCAATGTTTTGAAGTAGAAATCGAAATTATAGGTAGACCACCAATATAAGAATAACATTTATTGAGTGGTTATCGCCTACCATGTCTGGCTCCCTGGGTCTGTTCTAAGATCTTTCCATGGATTGAGCATTTCACGAAATACTCACAGCCACTCATATGGTAGATACTATTTATAGCTCAGTTTACAGCTGAAGAAACTGTGAAGAAATATTAAAGTGAACCTAACATGTTACATTCTACTGGTGGAGCTATAATTCAGGAATGGGCATGCTGATCCAAAGTCTCCCTTAACATTCCTAGTATGTTACCCCACTCATACAGGAAATTATGTATGAAACCAATCATTTGTAATAGATTATTAGATATTTTTCTGTCAAAAAGACTAATTCCAAGTATTTTTGGTATGTGTGACCATAATTGAGTGCAACTAGGGACTCTCTACTGTCACTGAAACTTATCACCCATGGAATATTTAGCAAGGTTTATAAATGATGTTAACTGCCATAGAGTTGGCCTAAACTCATGGTGACCTTAGTGCACACCAGAGCCAAAAGCTGCGCAGTACTGTCACACCACCATGATTAGTTGTGGATCAGAACATAGTCCATAGAACATGGAGTATACACACGGCACGGAGTCGATTCTGATTAAAAGTGGCTCTATAAGGCAAAGTAGAACTGCTCATTCAGGTTTCTGAGACGGAATCTTTATAAGAGCTGACAGTCTTTTTTCTCCCACAGAGCAGCCTTGAACCCCTGCCAGGAACACACCATGCCACCAGAGATCCAGACAGAGAGGACAGAATGGGTTCGTTCATCTAGATAGCTTAGTGGACAGAGAAAGAACAACTAATCGACTTTGTGGTGCTTTCCAACAAGTTCGGGGTTGTGTTAGTAGCTTGCTGGCAACCGTTACACTTTATTGTCTCTGATTGGAAACTATACGCAAATATTATGGAAACCAAGAGATTTAACATTCTATTACATAAAAAAGGAAATATTGCTGATTCAAACATGACAATTTAAAATTAGTGTGGTGAATAGTATGTAGCAGGTGTATTTTATTTTGATCAAACAATTCATGGCATTGTATATTAGAGAACACATTTAAAATGAAGCACCCTCAAAGCTAATTTATGTGATTTAAAGATGAAATTTATATTACTAAAGGAAATTTTGCTATATTATGTTAAAAGTTCTTATTAAATTTTAGTCCATATTTAAAGCCCTTATTGATATATCCAACCACGTTGCAGATGTTATAGAGCCCCAATGGTATCTAATGTGGTAGTGATTTAGTTTAGTCAATCTGTTATTTTAAAAATTCAGTGCTAAAATATGATTCATATTTATCCCAGAAAATTACTCTATTCTTGCAAGTCATTAACGCCTATTCTTAATATATGTTATATATAGCTTAAAGTGTTTCTTGTAAAAAATCTAATTAGAAGTTCAATATTATCAGTAACTTTATATCTTATATAATATTAGTATTTGGTCCAAATTTTCACTCGTGGACGTAGTTTGTACCCTTTGTAAAACAAACAAACCACTAAAAACCAAATTCTCAGGAACAGATGCCTGTAGCAGTAGGATGTGTTTTAAAACTATAAGCAATTCTGAGTTGAGGCAAGTAGTGAGATAAATAATGCCCTTCCCAACCCAAATCTGCCTTACCGAATCGATTCAAAATATTGCATGTGTCAAATCATGTCTACAAAGGAGTATAGACTTTATTGGATTTATTAATTCACCTGGGTCCTCAAAATAGTCACAATTAACTCAAATATACCAATGGTCAATCATGAAGCTGGCACAAAATCAAGCAACGTTTCCATTTGTTGTACATGCGGCCCCACATTGAGTCAGAAGCAGCTCCTTGGCAATGAAACCAATGACATCATTTTAAAATACACTTGTCTATTATTAGGTCAGGGAGCCCTGGTGGTGCAGCGGGTTAAACACTGGGCTGCTAACCAAAAATTTGGAAGCTTGAATCCACCAGCTGCTCTGTGGGAGATAAATGAGGAAATTTGCTCCCATAAAAATGTACCACCTTAGAAAGCCTCTGGAGCCATTTGACTTTGTCCCAGGTCTCAGTGAGTAGGAATGGGTTCTTTAACTGTGTGTTTGCAAGTTTATTGGTAGGCCACTGACTTTGGACACAATCTGTTTTAATTCAAATGTAAACCTGGACACTGCCTAGCTCAATGATTCAGGAACTTTATTGAGATCCGTTGAAATAACAATGAGGATTAAATGGATTAAAAAATGCATTAAAATGGACTTTAAAATATTTCATTTTAAACAATTTTAAACACATTCTCTAAATTTAGCTACTGTTTAAATTCTAAAAGTCTAGAATGGCGACAAATGCTAGTCAACTTTACACACACACACACACACACACACAC